TGGAAATTACCTCTCGAGTTGGGTGTCTTAATGTCCCTCTCTGACCCAAAACAGTGGACTGGTCTGTCTGACTGACAGTGAGTCAGGAAGGGAAAGTGATAGTCCATTGTTTGGAATTTGCTGCAGTTGCAGGCTTTGTGAAGCACTCAGTCTCTGCAGCATTATGGAATGCAAAGCCAGAAATCCCCAAAGCTTTGCTAATTTGCACAGTTAGATTGGCCCCAAGATAGTTGTTGAAAGAACTACACTGCCCCTTCCAGCAGTCATCCAACAAGACGATTAATGCTACAAACTTCTTTAGAATTTGATTCTGAAAATAACTCCCAAAGATTTTTGTTTATTTTTGAAGTTTAACAAAACATATTCACGTGTCGTAACGGAGAGAACATTTCATTGCAATTTGCTGCTGCACTTTGGAAAGCCCCTTTTGCAGAGAACAATTCTGCAGAGAGAGATTCTTGATTTCGCAGGCTAAAAGTTGATGTTCCATGGACATTAAAAAAAAGTACCAAAAATGACACGTATGACACTTAATGACAACATGAATCTAATATTTAATCATTTTCCACAACAATCTGATTACTTTCCACCTCGATCGATCGCTGTTTAGCGAATGAACAAGCTATGCTAAGCTAAATTAGCTGGAGAAGCTTTAACTTGCACCGAGACAAATTTAATTATGCACAACGATTTAGTTGAAGGTACTTTTCTCCCATAAAGTAGTTCTGGGATGTACTCTGACAAGGCTTAAGCTTGTTCAGTAGTTTACTTCAAAAGCACCAATCATGAGCTGCACTTAGTGAAATGAAACGGGCACTTACACAAGTGTCTTTTGCAAAGTGAATACATTCGTTTCTGGTCTACAAATACCACAGGGTGCATTCTAACTAGTAAAGGTAGGATATACTGTATTACATTTGTCACAAATGCAAAAAAAAAAAAAAGAAAGAAAAATCCTACCCAGCCGACTTGTAGTCACACGTATATGTTCCCAAGTTTTTAGCGACAACAAACCTTTTGGCATATTCGTCAAAGGGAGTTCCTACTAACTGAGTGACTGAGTCTGTCTGCAACAAAATGGCCGTGTGGTAAACACTGAAGTGGCTAAACATGGTTCCCACATCCCAAATGTGGTTTTAAAATTCTTAATTATAGTTTTAAATAGACATGTTTGTGTCGACCAAATTTTGTGGTCAAGTTAGTTGAGGTAGCTATTTTTCTCCTCAGCCCTACATCCCATCTGTGATGGTCACTGACCTGCCACAGATGGGATGTTTCATAGCAACTTTATGTAGTGGTGAAAAAGGGCTTCCGTGACATTGTTGTACTGTATTTTATTTGTAAGGTGCAAAGGTCAACACTTGGTTGTTGTGATCTATGAATAAAATATTTGGTTTGGTTTCAATAAAAAATCTGTAGTTCTTTTTTCTCTCTTTTTTTAGGTGTATTTATTTTCCAACTCTTTCAGGTTCAGTAGTTTTCTTCCATTCTGTAATGTTCTTGTTTAACTATTAACGAGTCACACAATCCCAGACCTACACAGTCTGTGGTAAACTGTTCTTGGGCATGTGTCACAGAGCTAAACTACTTTCTTGACCACAAACAAAAAAAGGAGGAGAGGCTCACACATGGCGTTCAGATGGAGGATTGGGCACCGTCCAGGTTTTCCCATTGTTTGGGTCTAGGCAAGTCCTTAAAGAAACGTGTTTTGTAATGCTGCTCATCTGCATATAGTTGAGCATCTTATAATGTATGATCCATAATGTGAAATTTAATTGACTGAGTGGAACTAAACATAAACCTTTTGGATGCAGACACACTTCCCTATAAATACTGGAACAGTGACGCCATTTTTGGTTGGTTTTTTTTTTGTTGTTTTGCTTTTGACTGAAAACATTTGGCTTTGCTGTCAATACTAACATTATTTGCAGCAGAACACCAAATCTTTAGGTAAGCTGAAGTTTTGGAACTGCTAGACTAAACATAGATATAAGTTAATAACACTAAAAAGGAGACTTATTATGCTTTTTTTTTCATAATTTCAAGCGATTCACTGGTGACTTCATTTAAATGTCTGTGACTTTTGAACATTGTCAAAATACCTCAAGTATCAAGGATTACATGACAATGTTCACTTCACATGTTTTGTGATTGTGTGTGAATGGTCAAACTAGGATAGACTCCAGCATAATGCAACCTTCAACAGGATAAGTATCATAAAAAAAATGGCAGGGTGAATGGACGGATGGGCGGATGGATGGATATCCATACAGTGAACTACAGTATATACACAAGTAATAAACCTGCAACTTTTCACATGAAATTAACGTGCTGCTGTGATTATTCTGTTAAAAGAACAACTAACTGTATGGAAGAGTTTTTCTAATGTATGATCCGTAATGTGAAATTTAATTTACTGAGCTGAACTAAACATAAACCTTTTGGATGCAGACACACTTCCCTATAAATACTGGAACAGTGACGCCATTTTTGGTTGGTTTTTTTTTTTGTTGTTTTGCTTTTGACTGAAAACATTTGGCTTTGCTGTCAATACTAACATTATTTGCAGCAGAACACCAAATCTTTAGGTAAGCTGAAGTTTTGGAACTGCTAGACTAAACATAGATATGAGTTAATAACACTAAAAAGGAGACTTATTATGCTTCTTTTTCATAATTTCAAGCGATTCACTGGTGACTTCATTTAAATGTCTGTGACTTTTGAACATTGTCAAAATACCTCAAGTATCAAGGATTACATGACAATGTTCACTTCACATGTTTTGTGATTGTGTGTGAATGGTCAAACTAGGATAGACTCCAGCATAATGCAACCTTCAACAGGATAAGTATCATAAAAAAAATGGCAGGGTGAATGGACGGATGGGCGGATGGATGGATATCCATACAGTGAACTACAGTATATACACAAGTAATAAACCTGCAACTTTTCACATGAAATTAACGTGCTGCTGTGATTATTCTGTTAAAAGAACAACTAACTGTATGGAAGAGTTTTTCAACAATTTTGCCAAAGGCTTCTGCACACACAGAAACACACACACACACACACACACACATATATATATATATATATATATATATATATATATATATATATATATATATAAAATCACAGGAAAAATTGTTTTTGATGGAAATGCAAAATTATTTTATCACATATTTTGATCACGGTATTTCTCATTTCCAAATACCATATCTTGCATACCATACCAACTGCCTACAAATATGCATGGTCCTAAATCGTGGTGCATATGATAAAGCATATCTGTGCTCAAACCTTTTCTCTGCAGAAATGACATATTATAGTATTCAAGACTTGAATTAAATCGGTGTTGCTTGAACCTGCATTTGGTTCCTGCATGCCTTTATCCCTGAGAGCTGGAGGCTGCTGGTAGGTGAGACAGCTGCCTCAGCATGCCCTGGAAGTGCACTCTGCATCTTGGGCCTGTCGCCTTGTTTTCCTTTGGGTAGTGCTCCTCTTCACCCTGCAGTGATCCCTGCTTTTTTCCAAAGAGGAACCTCACCACCCATTACTACACCTTTGAAAGATTGACATTGATTATGCAGTGATCCCTCATTTTTTTTTTTAGGTTAATGGGGACCAGAATCTCCAGCAAAAGTTGAAAAAACGCAAAGTAGGATTTGTCCCAACCATCTAGGAATTTTTGTGTATGTGTATGTTGGTACCAGAATGTTTAAAATATGTAAACAGTATTTATACTTTACATATTTGAGAATAAATACGGTATGTTGGAAAAGCCCGTTAAGCACTGAAGCCGTAAAAAAAAAATGTGGCTGATGCAACACATGATTGTGGCTTTGCTTTAAAAAAAAAAAAAAATCCATTGTTTTTAGCATTGGGATTGGCAACTTTTGAAATTCATACATACATACATGCATACTTGTATATCCCCACAGCCTGATTTCTAATGAAGAGTGCAAACAAAGTACGACACCCACCCTGACCCCTACATTTTGCTCCGACAGAAACAAGTCAACGCATGGAAACGTTGGTCCTCTCTGATTGAATCCTTATGTGTGGGGGCTGGGCTTGTACAGAGAGAGTGACCCATAAACATATCATTGGATTTTGCTATTCGGTCCATATGATTACAGAAACTGAGAGCAAAAACCCAGCAACATATTTTTTCAGCTTTGACGTCGAGTGAAATGGCAAATACATGCAAGTATGGAGGTTAAATACAGAAAATAGATTTCATTTGCATGGCTGCGATCCGTTTCATTGACCGATAGAAGTGGGTTTAATTACATTTTTTGGGGATCCATTTTGACATCACTGCAAACTGCAAGTGTAATAATAAACATGGCAAATTGTCCATGTTATATCCTCTTTGACAGTGTTAAGCAAAATGGAACATTGTTATATTTATGAATCATAATTAAGAATAAAGCACTTTATCTTAATGTAGCATTACACGGGTGTCTGTTGTGTTGTTGTCTTTTTTGGAGAACTCTTCATGGCTGCTTCCTCTTGGCTTTTTTTGCAAATTGCTAAGGTGAAGGTCAAGTGACGCATGGTCGATGTCTTATAACCTTGCTGCTAAAAGAAAGAATTATACAGACAGTGTCAAGGACTTGAGCTCGTCATTTTGTTTTGATTTGTTATCTGAGCTGCAAATGTTTAGGATCATCATGTGTCCTTTTTAAATTGGGAGTTCAACAAGAATAATAATGCAATTCACTGAGCCCTAAGACGAGCCTTGTGCTTATCTTTGGTGCAAAAGTTATATAAATGCACCCCAGTGATTAGGAGCTTGATAAACGCATTCTCGTGAGATGAGTAATGAGCTCAATTATCCGAGATGCTGATGACATGACCTGGAATTTGTAAGCTTCATCTCCTGCTGCCAGCTTTGTGTACTTTTACAAAGATGCTTTCTTGCTGAGTATTTTTTTTTGAGTGTTTCCTTTGTAATCATTTTGTGAATATAATTTGTCTTTTCTTTTGCTCTGCAGGGACCTAAGATTCAACAAAATCAAGGATTTACAACCGGGATCTTTTAGCCGATTAAAGAATCTCAACACACTGTAAGTTTTAGTTTTTATTTTGCTTGAACAAATTTATTTTTGTGCAGTCAGATCGCATTTACAAAACAAAAACTATTCAGCCGAAATGTTTCGAAGTAATGAAGCTCAAAGAAACACTACCTTTCAAAAATGTTCTAAATTCTTCAGACTTTCATTCAGAAAAACTGTCACTTCCGGAAAAAGTCATGCTTGTATTGCACGAACATAAAATCTTACTCGTTCTGCTCCTAATTTCACATGTGGAGGTCAGTTTTGTAATGGTAGAGGAATTTATATACCGGTATATATATTTTTTGTTTTATACCTTGATGGCTTTTGATCTTTGTGCCTGAATGCTTAGATCAGGCTTCACCAGCCTTTTTGAAACTGAGAGCTACTTCTTTGGTACTGATTAATGTGAAGGGCTACTCGTTCGATACTTCACTTCTGAAATAACAAATGTGCTCAAATGACGTTGCCATCAGTAATTCATAATATTCATCCACGAGAAGACAATTATCATGGAAAGTATGTCTCACAATCAATCAATAATGATTTCTTAAGTTAGGAAGTATGAAGCGACACTTTTATTCCTCTAAATCACTGAAATTGTTTCCATATATAAATGAGGATTTTTACAACATTCCAAGGAAATCACAATGTCCCATCACTGGTGAGCTCGATCAACACTAGAGTGAGACGCCCGCAAATCATGCTTCATCCAACAATCTACAGCCACGTCAAGTTGCTCGATGTCCTTCGTCTTTTATTTATTTATTTATTTATTGTTTTTGAATGTTATGAGCCTCTTTTATTAATTCTTTTTAATTCTAATAAAAATGTGTTTATTGGTGAGATGCACTGCTAATGTATAGGTGTGTCAGGCTACGTAGCGAACTCCGCTAGGAAAATAGGGCCTGCAATTTCCTGCACACTTCGTGGTGGAAATTCAAGTAAAATTGAATTCTGAGGCGTTCTGCTTCATCCAAGACAAAATGCTGCATGCTTCCTCAAGTTGGTACAGAACATACTACATGTAACCTCAAAATAACTTTCTTTGCAGCCTCCTCAACAACAATCACATACGAAGAATCCCCAGGGGTGCTTTTGAAGATCTTGAAAATCTCAAATATCTGTAAGTTGTCCTGATATCAGTCTTTTTTTTTTTTTTTTTTGCTTTCCAGGTCATGTAATGAGTCTTCTAACCAGATTGCTTAGCGAGCAAAAATTTTAAAAACAAAACTCTCCCTTAATCACTGCACATAACATCATGAGGACTGTTCTTTCTGAATGTTATTGAGCTGGTTTAGGTTTTGCATTCATTTTGAAGTTGACGCCTGGAACCCGTTACAAAAATTATGTCATGTTTACTTCCCACTTTTGCATCACTCTTCCTTTTAATTAACTATAGTCAGTAAGCAATTGGGAACTGAAGACATTAGATGTTGAAACTTTGTGGGTGGAGTTGTTTGCCATTCTTGCTAAATTTACTACATTGTTGTATTTTGTGCTTTGTAATTTATGTGCGAGAGATCTGAACTGCTGGCACGCCAGTCGAGGACTCGGGCTCTTTTACTGCAAAGCCATGTTGTTGTCACACTTGTAGAATGTGGCTTGATGGTTTTCATATTTAGTTAGGTACTTTTTTTTGTATCGTATTGCGAAGTATTTAGCAGACTCCAGACAATTTGGAGACCGAGAGTCAATGCCATTTTCACTATGAAATCATCATTTCCGCATTTCAGCTGAGATGCAGCTGGTCTGCTCTTCGACATGTTGTGACTTGACACTTTGCCGCTTCCACATAGAACACATTTAGTATGATGTCAGTATTGCTACATTTTCACTTTTGTGTCATGTATGCAAAATGTATACACACTCAGGATCGTTGTTAGGCTTTTGCAAAGCTTGCTGATGAGCAGATCATTTGTGTTGGAGGAGGGAAACGTCTAAAACATGCCGGATAGCGGCCCTCAAGGAACGGAGTTGCCCACCCTTGGTCTTGGCTGTTGTCCGTTGTTTGTTATGCAGGATATGGGCATTTAAACCTTTTTGGGCGTCAGCTTTAGCGTCTTTATCCAGCACAATTGCATTGATGGCTATGACTGTGTACAAAACCTCAATAAAATCACTGCAATAATGACAGTGCCATAAAGTGTTTGGTGTTAGTGCATGTTGTCCAAACACTTCTATGATGTGTAAAGTTCTCTTTAGCACGCAGTTGATGCCCACGTATTATATGACATAGTAATCTGGAAGCTTCACTGAAAAACTCGCAGCCCTTGTTGTGCCATTCTGTGGTCCTGCTGCCGCCGGTCTCAATCTAAGACTAGTGGTGATCTGGCTAGCGACAAGAGGATAGCCACAAATCATGTTCCTTCGAGGCAAATCTTTTGTCCCTAAAACGCGGGATGTGCCGGTCGTGTTGTTTCTGCTGGTGTTGTTTCAGTGATAAAGGTCATTCAATCTGAAGTGTGGACTAGAGGTTTGTCAGAAGCAAAAAAAAAAAAAAAAATTCTGAAAATGACATCACAGTGACTAGGGGTTCAGCTTGCGAATGACCTATGACCAAACCCAGAAAAACAGGTGAGTCGTGATTGATCGTTACCTGAGCAACTGTGATGTCATTTTCAGTCGTCAGCAAGTGGCACAATGGCTGCTTCCTGAGACGGATAAAAATGGCTGGATTTTATTTCATATTCCGCTAATGCAATGTTCATCAGAATTCCTTGTTTTTACTAGTGGGGGCACATACAACATATTATTGTAAAGATATTTTTTGACTTGACTTCCACTTGAATGAATCCTTAAGGTTGGGTGGCTGACTACTGGTTTTGAAAATGCTTGATTAGATATGCTGCAAAACCTGCATTTGAAATGTAAATAGCTCAGGCGATCCGGTTTATTTAATTGTGGCTGCCAATATCGTGATCAAGATAAAAATAGCATTAATTACGCTGCCCAACTGTGTATTCACCATTTTCGAAATGTTTCTAACCGACTAACTTGATTAACTTTTAAATAATAGAATTGCCAACATCCTATGTGGCCTTCCATGCTTCTAAGTTCCACTTTTGTTTGTTCTGTCAGCATTAGATTCTTCAAAAAAAAAAAAAAAAAAAGATTGAAATGTATTCTGAATCATGTAATGTACATCTATATCACGATGTCTCCAAGAATCGATTTTTGTCTCTCATCCCAAATCTTAATTTTGTATTGTTAATTTGTGCCTGTATAGATTTGTATACAGTAATCCTTCCTCTTTCATGGGATTTACATGCCATGACCCTCCACAATATCCGAAAAGCCATGAAATAAAAATACCCTATTTAAATTCTCCTCAGCTATGTTTTTATAGCATTTTTTTAACGTCTTTGAACGCTTCTTTAAAGCAATAAAAACACACTTGTATACAAACATATATTCAGAGAAAGAAAGATCAATGTTCACAAACATATTGTACAAATGGTGTGTGCGTTCTGTGTAAATAAATAAATAAATAGTGGGACCCCGCCCGGGAATTACTTTAATTGTAGCTTTTATAATATAAGTGATGCTTGTTGAAGATAAACTACATTAGCAGAAGCCTGTGACAAGAGGAAAGGTATTACCCTCAAGCTAATATATTGGATCAGTAGACTTAAGTGGGTTGAGTGTTTAAAGGACATTGTCCCCATTGTATCTCTTTGTAGCTCAATGGCCTTCCAACATGTCAGTGCTTGTAGTGTCCCATCATCCAGTACACCCCCACCCATCATACTTTTAATTAAATACCGTTAACTATTTACAAGCTGTTTTAATGACAGAGTCCGTCTCTTTTTCAAGCACCATTTAAAACCCACAGCATTGTTCTGCCCCTTGTGATTAGCTTAGAATGTTCTCTCGGTGTCCACCCCTAGCTACAGTTCAACTTCAGGCTTCAGTTATTCACCTTGTCCTAAAGCCTACAGCTTTAATGGCCGTTGAACCAAATCTCCAGCAAATCTCCACTCCACCACCGTTAACAGGTCAGATCAAGGTTAGAGAGCATGAGTCTGACAGACCATAACGGTGCATTTGACTATTTGGAAATTATAGTGTACACACCTACTGTTTGGTTTTGGTTTGGTTTGTTTATTGAACATAAAACATAAACAGTAATAATTTGACAGAAAATAAAGTACCGGGTAAATAAAATAGTAAAAAGGAAAGAGAAATCAGTCATCATTCAACACAGTTATTATGTTCAAGGGAGTAGGAAGAAGTCCAGAAAAAAATCCAGAACAAGAACAAACATCAAGCAAAGGTGTGTATCAGTAATAGGAGTTAATCTGTGGAATAAGCTTGAGACGAATCTGAAAATGAGTAAATCGTTGGACGAGTTCAAAAACAAATTTAAAAGATTAGTACAAAAAAACTACATAAAACAAAGTTAAGAAGATAAATTTTACATACTGGTACTTATAAAATATAGTAATACAATGGTTTGTTCTTGTTCTGGATTTTGAACAACTTATTGAATGTATTCAAGAAATGCAGTATATATGATGAATATGAGTCATTTGATATAAAAAGTAGAAAGAACAATTATATATATACAAACCGAAAGGTGTATCAATAGATAAGTATAGTACACAAAAGGTAAAAGTATTTGATGAAATGTAGATTTCTTCCTTTTCTTTGGTATTGGAAATGATCAATATACATTATTGCACAACAAGGGGTAGGACTAGATAAGTTGTATACTTCTCCCTACTCCTTTGAACATATAACTGTGATGATGTTTGTATTACTTACTTTTATTTTCCTTTCATAATTTTTGTTTGCATTTTGTCATCTGTTATTGTATGTTTTATACATGTTCAACAAACAAACAAACAAACAAACAAACAAACAAACAAACAAGTAAAGAACTTATCTAGTCCTACCACTACTGTAAATGATGACAAAAGAAACGTAGCAGTCTTTTGTAGCAAACTACATTGTGTCCACACACTTTCAATGCAAGTGATCAAATACATAACGTATTGACACAGCACACCTCGCATCTTACCCAATCGTTTCAGCATACAGTGAAACTCCTCTACAACGAAACCTACATGTGTGAAAATACCCCCTTGTGTGAAAAAATCTTGATGCATTAAAGCCATTCCCTGTTTTCTGTTTCCACCTACAACGAAAAGTCCCCCTGTTGCGCAATACGAAATCCTTTTCTCCACCCTTGCGTCGCAATGAGGTTCACTGCAACGGAAACAAGCCTTCCGCAAAAGTCTAATCCAACCTCAGCCTGCCACAGCCACCGCTACTACTTAGCTCGGAAATGGCAACAGCAACCACCACACTGATTTATATATGCGCAGTAGTTCAGGAAGTATTTGTTATTGTTAGCACGTGGTTAGAAATGTCACTCGTAGTTTCAGACACAGCACGAATGTTTCATTACTTGGTATAAAATGGCTACAAAACGACCTTTGCAGACCAAGGCTCTTCACAAGGAGTTAAGAAAAGAAAAGCTTTAACAATTGAAGACAGGATAAAAGTAATAAAGATGAAAGATGGAGGAAGCAAAGTAAAAGACATTGTGCAAGAAATTGATGTAAGTGAAAGTGAATGCTGATTGTAAATTTCGCAATTTCTTTCCCTTTTTTTTCTTTCTACGCTGGTTATATGAAGTGTCAAATAAGTGTACGCTCATTCTTATGCGCTATTGGAATAAAAATTAAAGTACACATACACGTTTTGTGTGTGTGTGTGTTTGTGTTTACGTCTGAGATCAAATTTGCTGTAGTGAAAAGTCCCCTGTTGTGAACAAATTTCTGGCTGCAAACATGATTTCGTTGTAGATGAGTTCTACTGTATCAAGACATTATGACAATGCTGTGCTTCCAAGTTTCATTGAAAAGCTTGAAGACCCTTTTCTATCATGCATGGCCATGCTACAGTGTACAAAGTGAGGTCCATATAAGGCACCAACAGATTAATTTGGTGTGGAACATCCCATCAGCGACATTTGGGTTGAACTAGAATAGAGATGGTGAGTCTCTCTCTCTTCCAACAATGGTGACCTCTGATGATCTTCCAGATGAATGGCTAAAAATTCCAAGGACCACAGAAGTCACCTAAGAGAGTGGAGGCTGTTATAGCTACAAAGAGACGACAGACTTGTTATATTTGGATGTTAGCAATTCTCCTCGGTGTCATGGCCAGGTGTGTCAAAACTGTTATTCCTAGAAATCTGCTGAAAGCACAGTGCGTCTCTTTGCAAAATTATCCACTAACTGACAGCATGTTCCATTCACCTGAATGCGATCTGAGTATTTCAATTTCATGGAACATTATTCCTTATTTGATCCGCACTACCCTGAAACCTGATAGCGTTGACACTGACACGCTTTAGCAATGACGGAAGAATGCAGTGATTAAAGGGTTTTTATTTTTCCATGCACTACATCGCATGTTCCACAAAGAAGCTCCATATCTGTTGCCGCGGGTGCGATGATGGAACGCATAAAACAGACAGGACTCGGAAGACAGCTGCAAGCAATTGCTTTGCTTGTATCACATTTCTTTTAGCGTGTAAGATTTCCACATTAACGGGGGGTTCTGTCGCATAGCAAGGCTGAGATGCAGCCCAAGGAATTTATGACATGAAAAACATCTTGGTCATTTTTTTAACCACTTAAAGAGCACTTTTTGAAAAACTTTGAGATTCAAAATTGTAGTGCAGGGAGAAATATTGCAATTGTTTTTTGTTTTTTTTTTAATGTATGCAATTCTACTGCCTCATAGTGATGTGTGCGGTTCCCAAATGCGGTTCCTTGTCCGATAAACAACTGTGGCGTGCATTTGTAATGTTTGTTACATATTCATTGTGAACATAAACACTTTAAAAGCAAAGTGATTATTCAGTGGAGTGTGCACAGTATCTAATTGCGCTGTGGTCTGCTGCTAAAGAGAGAACAAACGGTGCAAGAAGTAGATTAGCAGCTGTTTGCTTGACTTGCTGCAGCACAGTTCCAAGTAGGTGTGTGAATTGAAAACAGCCTTTGCCGTCCTCAAGGCCAAAGACTTTCGACCTGGTCTTTTATTTTGTCTACCGACTTTCTTTACCACCAGGCGATATGCACACGATGCAGATTTCTGTATGTGATACTAATGTGACTGGTTATCTTCCCTTTCAGCTATTTGTACAAGAATGAAATCCAATCAATTGACAGACAAGCATTTAAGGGGCTTGTCTCTCTTGAGCAACTGTAAGTGAACAACTTTTTCGTCACCTTTTCCACTGGCCTGTCTCTCTGTTCCCGCTAACCGCGAAACAGCTGCTCGCAACAACTCATGAAGAATAGAAAGCGCTCCATGGTCATGAGTTAGTTCATGCCGTGACTTTGCAGGCCTTTCACAAGTATCATGATAGCATTGCTCCTTTGCCTGTCAGTGCAGTTATTCCTCCCCGACGCGCGCCATTATCGACTTTCCCTTCTCCGCCATGCATGCCGTGTGTGCACCCACCCTTGTGTACCGCGCTGACCCCCTTTGACCCTTTTTGCATGACTCGCATGTCTTTTAGCCTCGAGGACAGATCTGCAGTTACACCGCCCCAACCCCCATGCTTGTAGCTTGATGTTTTTGCCGCTGATAGAGTCATCATACTGCTGAGCTAGAGCGTTGCTTTTGCTACTCTCGCTTTTGCTGTCGCTGTGTCCACATTTCTGAGAATCATTCAGTGTGTTCGAACATATTTGTTGTCTGTGTTAAAATGTGACTGCCAGTCAAGACACAACACATGTAAGATCTGTTTTTACTTCAAACAAAAATGCTCATCGGTGGATTTCTAATTTTAATAGTTCAATTGTGTGTATTGTGATATTAGTCATAAACAGATCTCTTGAACCATAACCCATAATCAACGTGGGCGATATAAACAATTTCCTCAGCAAACGGGGCTCACTCTAATCTGTGACTTCACTTAGCTGCATTAATGCAGAACAAATGTCTAATTCACTAAATCCTATTCCAACACCAGGCTCACTGCCCAGCAGATGCTTTGAATTTTGCGATAATATAGGGTTTTATTAGCAAGTGACAAGTTATGAACCAGCCTTCAGACTGAGAAATAGTTTGACTACATCTCACGCGGCAACATAAATATGCCAATACCTGACATTGCATGCTTCTTTTCGGGAATGAATTGATTTGAAGGCATATCCACTCACATTTGTACATAACCCACCAACAATGATTTCATTACAGCTAAGCATGACCCCGCATCTCAAATGTGAGCAAAATATTGACCAGAAATTGGAATGCGAAGCAGGTCGCGGCAATTAAAATCCACCCTTGCAAAAGATACACTGGCGTAAAGGCGTTTTAATGCAATTTAATGTCGATGGGCTGGCTGCTTGTACCAATAGTGGGATTAAATTATTTTCCTTTTTCCCTTTTAAGACATGTTACTTAGGACACATACTAAAGTAGTACTTTTTATATATAATGTAATTGCACAACACATGGTCATTTCAGTTATAGAAATGTTGACAAAATATTATTTTATTTTGTACATAGTGGGTTTTTTTGGGGGGAGGGGGCCTTCGAGACCTGCTGTGCCTCTTGCATCCATTTAAATGAGCAGCTCTTATTGATCAGTTGGATTTTATCTTTTCTTCATGATTATTGTTTTAGTCTCCACAGTTCAAGGGTATTTGGTGGACTTTTGTTTTTGTTTGTAGTACTTGATGTATTTGTCTGTTTGTCACTTCTATACTTCCTCATCTCCTCTCCCATATAATGTGAATATTATCTTTAAGATAAAACATGCCAAGCCGTCCATTCTTTCTTTTATTAACCTATAGCACGCTGAAGTGGCCTTGATTCTGAATTGCCAGAAATGACAGCTGCGCTTAACTTGCTTTGCATTTGTGAATAGTCAAACGGAGACCAATAATGCACTGTGCTTTGTCTGTAATTTGTTCTTCTTCAGGTACCTCCACTTCAACAACATTGACTCATTGGAACCAGAATCATTCAGTCACCTACCAAAGCTTGAACGATTGTAAGTCCTCTTTTGCCCATTGACGTGGTTTAATCCTATCCTCTAATTATCACTTTAATCAGCAGATCAATTGGACAACTGCTGAATTCTGCAGGACCTCAGAAGACCAAAAACCATAGATAGTCCCTTGTACTTTGTATTACTTGCTTTAGAATTCAGGGTATGAATTTTGGATTAAGTGCGCATTAGGAACGTGAACTATTTACCAGACAAATGACCGACATAATGTATGGTTGTTAAATAAATAAATACAATAGTTAATAATAATCATCATCTCCTATAAATATCCAAAAATCACCCAAAGTGAATTGTGTTCATGTTGAAGATAAAAAAGAAAAAAAAACACACACACCTGATGTCCCTTAGTCAAGCTCAATTAATAAAAAAACAAACAAACAAAAACAAGGAATGTAATTTTGAAAACTATGTTTGTGTACACTTGTAGATTTTTAAAAAATGGCACTCCCGGATTCAAAAATAGTGCAACCTGTGAAAATCTGTGGGATCAGCTCAGTGGCCGTGTCGAGGCTCGGAATTCTGCACCTTAGAATCTCAATGACCCTCGGGGTCATTGAGATTCTAGGGTGCCAAAGAAGAGTAGGATGCCATGCCTCAGCAGACAAGACTTTGACTTGTGACCAGCATGAGAAGTTGTTGTCTGAGGCTTGCCATGTCTTTAATGGCTGTGGTTTAGCGATATAAATAAAGATGTATTGTGTTGCATTGTATTAACTACTCAAGCGAGCAAATGCAAAGCATGATGAGAGAAGACCATCGATTTGAGTCACGGTTAGTATTTATCCATCCATCCATTTTCTGATCTGCTTATCCTCACAAGGGTTGTGGGCATGCTGGAGCCCATCCTAGCTGTCTTCGGGCAGTAGGCGTGGGACACCCTGAACTGGTTGCCTGCCACTCGCAGGCACACATAGACAAACAGTCATTCGTGCTCACAATCACACCTACGGACAATTTAGAGCACAGGTGTCAAAGTCAAGGCCCGGGGGCCAGATCTGGCCCACCACATCATTTTATGTGGCCCGTGAAAGCAAATCAAGCATGTCAAGTTCCATCATTTTTGCTAAAGTCTGAACCAAAATTTCAAATTGTCCTATGTAATCCACAATAACAGTCATTATTCTTGACTTCTGATTTTAAAACTAGTTATCCATCAATTTGTTGTGCACTGTGTATGTAATATGTGGAGGTCATTAAACATTTATATGGTTTCCCAAAATTCATAACGGCCCTCCAAGGCAAACCGTAACTACAATGTGGCTCACAAAAATGAGTTTGACACCCTTGATTTAGAGTGTTTCGTTAACCTGCCATGCATGTTTTTGGAATGTGGGAGGAAACCGGAGTACCCGGAGAAAATCCGCGCAGGCACAGGGAGAACATGTGAGCCACACAGGAAGACCGAAGCCTGAATCGAAACCTGCCCCTCTGCATTGTGAGGCCGACGTGCTAACCAGTCGCCCACCGTGCCGCAGTTCCTTCAAATTTAATTTGTCTTGACAGAGCTGTGAGCTGTGAAATGATCCAAGTGTTCTTTCGCTCTGCAGTATATTTGTTTAACAGCTGTCAGGAAATATTGTGAGGCCAATTTTTTTCGTGGCTTCCAAAAATATTCTCTTTGGTACAATCAGTCTGGGAAAAACGAAAGTAGCGGAACAGGAAGAGAGTTAAACTCCTGGATTAGGCTGATGACTGAGAACATATCCTTGCTCCATCAATTGAGCTGAACAAACCCCAACTTGAAGACTGTTTGACTGAACCAGCCAAGGTGTGATCATTCACGTCTCGCTTATTGGTGACGAATGCAGCCCGGGCTGCCAGAACTCGACAAGTGACCGTTGAGACTTCATACGTGCCTCACATGTATGTGCTTCAATTGTGCAAATGCGTTATTACTCGGCATCGAGCTTCCTTCCCCCGATCGGTTATGAGTGGATTGGTGAGGTGACGAAAGGACGGCGACAACGTTCGACAACGACCCGCCACCTTGAATGGGTGGCCTTGGCGGCGAGGAATGTTTGTCTGATGATTACACGGCATGTGCCCTGCGTTTCAGTCTTTTTTTTGTCAGATTTTTCTTTTCCCGCTCCGAAATATTTTTTTTCAGTTTCTTTCGACAGCCATTATTCCACCATCAAACCCAGGTACATTTAGTTCCTGTTAATATAAATTCCGAGTAATACAAAGTTCCTGTGGCCCAGGGCGGTTTGCATTTCCACCGCATCTCCTCATTCTGGGTAGGTACCCAAATGAGTCTGACTACGAATACTATGAGAGGTGTTGTGTTACTCACGACTGACACCTTATCACCCTTAATCGTCAGTGCAGTCAACAGAAAATACTTGACACAGTGAGATTTCAAGTTAGTGTATTATTGTATCTTAATTCAAGTCGAAAACACCTATCAATATACAATCAATCATTTTTTTTGAAATTACAACAGCATGAAGTACTTGGTGTCTCTCAATGTGTTTCAGGGCTTGACAGTGCACCCAGTATGCTCACAAATGCAGCCAAAGTTTTTCTGTGTGCTGGTAAAAAAATTCATCCGGTCGCACTGGCGCAAGTGCATGTTTTAGTGCTCCTCGCAGTACTTGTGGGGGGGAGGGGGTGAATGCAGTTCCAACTTTGTGGGTCTGTCAGACTGCACGCACAAGGCGCATCTGTGATGCACGTCATGTTAAATCGTTCTTGTGTAAATAAGATAAATAAGCATTCGAGTCTGAATGTGAACTTTGCCATGTCAAAGGCCATCTCACTGAACGATTGCAGCTCTTTTTGCTTTATAAATGACGCCGTCCCATTCATCTCGATCCCATTCACAGAGGCACTTACGACCCACTCTGCATTTCGGCATTCGAGACTGCGCGCTTGTCATCCAGCATTCCGTGTTGAATTATAAATACTGGTGGGCACACACTCAACCTTTGTGGTTCAAATGGGCAGTGTCATAACCGGAGCATGGCATTAAACTTTGAAACCTCTCGTGTTTGGCAAGACACGAGAAAGACAGAAAAATGTCCCTCATTGCATTAAGCGTTCATCGCTACAAATATCCAAACCGTGCGGTTTTTCTATCGATCTATAAAAGCAGACATATAAGAAGAATGATGAATGACAAAATCACTTTGCTATTTTACCTAATTACAATCGATTGTCCATCTCGTCACTTACTGTATGTTACAATACCTAAACAAATCACTAGCCTTCCGTCAGCCTTCCAGTTGACAGCAAGGGACTTGAAAGCAAGGGTTTTATTAAGCAATTAAAAATATGAACATTTTGTTTTTTTTATACAATCAACCATTTTTATTTCTTAAATTCACATTGTGCATAGCCGCAAACTGTATTCTCTTGTTGAGATACATTTTCAGCATATATAGGGTACCCAAAAAAATTATTCTATGCTCTATATATACTGTGTGTATATATATATATATATATATTTTTTTTTTTTTTTCTTTTTTAATCTGCTGCTTCATCTGTTATCTGTATATTTTTCTGCCAAATGTCGTAATCAGCATCAGCCTCAAATCCAAAGCCTTCTAAAAACAACACAAAACATTCTGACCAAAAGCTTTTCTAAGATGATGCATTTTCAAGCCTTTCTGAAAAGCATCCAATGTCTGCGGTGCCCTTCACAGGTGTCAGTCAAACTCTGGTCCTCGAGGGCTACCGTCCTGCATGTTTTCCATCTCTTCCTGTTGCAACACACCTGATTCAAAGGAACAGGATTGATATCAGGCTTCCGCAGAGTTTGTTGATAAGCTGATCATTTGAATCAGGGGTTTTGCAAAGGGGCAAGATGGAAAACATACGGGAAAACGGCACCACGAGGACCGGAGTTTGTCGTCTATGCTAGATGTTCAGGGACCGGTAGCAGTGGAGCAGAAGGCAAAATGTACAATAAAAAGTGTCACAGTCTAATATGAACTTGTGCAGTGACCAATGAGACCAAACCTTTTGTAAGTGTGCAGGTCAGTTATCACCTTTCCCTTTCAAACATGTGAATATTTCCAGATATTTCAGTCCTGTTGCATATCTTTCATTGACCCCATTTGTGGGCTGGTTGCTGCCAGGCGTATTCATACTCAGAACATCAATAACTATAAATTTTTCATGAAACAAAAAGGAAAGGATGGCATAATAAGGCAAATATTTCTGTGGTACACAGTGTGTGCGTCACATTGAAAAACCTCAAGTCTTAACTGTATTGGGAAAATCTCATAAATATCTTCAAAGGTCATGAGTCACATTTTTCAACCTCTGGGCTGTGTTATGAGTGATCCATCAGTCTCTAGCATTTATTTAGGGTTTAGACTCATAAATTTGCTTGTGTATCTCTCCTTCAGGTTTTTGCACAACAACAGAATCACCCAGCTGGTCCCGGGAACCTTCTCCAATCTCCAGGCCATGAAACGACTGTAAGTGGAAAAGCTCCATGTCAACTTCTAAAACAGCTGTGTGGGAATGCATGTCTGGATCCATGTCTACCTTACAAACCGTCTCGCCCAGTGAAAAGCTGGACTTGCTAATCAGTTACAGCACATGCCAACACAGTGTTCTTTCTGTTCTTTGGGAACAAGATGATTTCTATCGCAAGGCTCACAGCACACTCTTGGCACTGTTTGTCTGAGTTCTTTGTGTCAGCTGCAGAACTTTAATTTATTTTAGAATTTTAATCCTCTGTGTACTGACTAGCAGGGATTCAAAATTGGCATTATGTTTGCAACAAAGTATGTTTTGTTTTGAGGTTAATTTTTTTAATTTTTTTTTTTTTAGTTAATCTTAATGCCACATCACTTAAGTGGACAAATACGTTGGTGGACTATCAATCTTTTTTTTTTTTTTTTTTTGCTACATCTGTGCTTTTTGATGTAAGGCTTCTAAAAACTATGCAACTTATTGAATAGTTTGGCTTCCTTATCTCTTGTTACTTAGATTTTAAATATTCAACTATTGGCTGGTTAATATTGAAATTTCTCTTGAAACAATTGCAATGACTGTCACTATTGCAATTGTGCCTGAGTGATTGTGCACATTGTGTGTTAAGGCGACTGGATTCCAATTCGTTGAACTGTGACTGTGAGTTGCTGTGGCTGGCGGACCTTCTGAAGCAGTATGCGGAGTCAGGAAATGCCCAAGCTGCCGCCACGTGCGACTACCCGAGCCACCTGCAGGGAAGATCAGTGGCCACACTAACAGCCGAGGAGCTCAGTTGTGGTATGGTAGAGGAAAGCTACAACCATGCATGCCATTTCAAGAATGCCATTGAAACTCAGTAGGCACATTCACAATGAAAGTGTTCACATAGTGTCAAGGGGAGAGGTCGCCCACCTGACTGAAACCGAAATCTGCTTCTTGGATACTGCATTAGTAGAGTGGAGCTCAGTCGATTTTATTTTATTTTTTTACATTTTGTGAAGTCATAATGGTAAGCATATCATAAAACAAGGATGGTGCTACATCAATTGCATCAAACTACGTACAGTGTGTAGACATCAGGGTTAATTATGGCTCGCGCGTAGCAAGCATAAGAACAATAAACAGACAGCAATATAGGCATTCAATCCCCTTCAGGCTTTTTCCTATGCTAAGTCACCTGGTCTTACTCACTGCCACGCAGACATACACACAGGTGCATCCCCTTTTTTCGTGTCTGAGTTAGTCAAGCTCCGAGCTGCTTCACCCAGACGTTCAATTGTATATGTTCTCTCTTTGATTTTATTGCCTGCAATTGAAGTTTGTTATCACCATCAGTAGACATTGTTTCGAAATCTCTGCACCTCATTTGAACCCTCCTTTTTTCCTCAGTATATGACTACTTTTCTACATTTGGGTACCAGGAGAAAAAGTTTTATTTGATGGAAGTCATTCCACATGCCCGACCCGCTTAGCCCCCACCAACTGCCCTCCCCCAGCCCCCTTGCCCTGTAAAGGCACGACACCGCACACCAATCCAAGCAGCTGTCAAAACAGCTGCCCTCCTTGCAATGAAATGCCATCTTTCTTCACAGTCTAATTGATTATTCTGTATTTACTTAATTTATTTGAATATGATGCAGACCTGGCTCCTACAAACTGGATTCCCAGGCTATGTTGTCAAGCGACTCATCGTCATTTGTGTCGTTGAGTTTGATTTCTGGCAAGCCAACATGTCAAAACAGTCCAGGAAAGACGGTTGTGTATTGTTAGCGTTTCACCGGCTCTCAAGCCTCAGGCGAAGTGATACGTGTCACGTAAAGCAACACACAGATGTAGAGACATGCCATCATACCTACGCATACTTGCTATCCTCAAACCTTCCATTACAACGCTCTCTGCAGAAGTACCCAGGATCACCTCAGAGCCCCAGGATGTCGACGTTACATCAGGGAACACAGTCTACTTCACCTGCAGGGCTGAGGGAAACCCAAAACCGCAGATCATCTGGCTCCGTAACAAGTAAGCCTTTTAAGTCTGTGAGAATAATTACCAAACATTTTAAATGTGCAGCGATGCAGACAATCCAATGTTTAATTATGGTTTGTCCTGTGTTTCTGTCCTGTTCCAACAGCAACGCTCTTAACATGCGGGATGACAGTCGTCTGAACCTGCTAGAAGATGGGACACTGATGATTCAGGACACAAGGGAGACCGACCAAGGTGTCTACCAGTGCATGGCCAAAAATGTGGCGGGGGAGGTCAAGACCTCAGAGGTCACACTGCGATATTTCGGAGCCCCGTGTAAGTGAAGTTTTATAAATTCCTAGCTCATGCATTTGGGAAATATGAGCAAATGTTTCACTTGGATTTACACCTAAAATGTGAACGTCAAATTTTGGGACAAAAAAGCAATGACAATGAACGAGCTATTTTGTGTATACACAGGGGTATCAGTGATGATAAAACTAGGAGGAAAATTCTCAGAGCAATACCACAGAATGCCCCCCCCCCAAAAAAAAAAAACAAAACAAACAACAATAACAACTGGAATGCAAACCCAGAACGTGGGATGGGACCAATTTACTGTATTGGCAGTAACTCAACAGGTTCTCTTTATGTCAGCTGCTTCAGCAACAATGTAAGGCAATACATCAGTCACATCAAGTGACTTTGGACAAGATAACTTCATTGTATTGTATCTTGTCCAGTATTGTGAGTTCTCCTCATGGGTTAAAGATAGTTTAATTTTCATGAAAATTGACTTTTTTCACGATTGAGGCAAAATCGGTTCTATTATCTGAAGTCGACTGTGTTCATTATATATACCTATGAAACGATGACGCTGCGCATTTCATTCAAATTTCATGATAATAAACAATCACAAAAAATATTTTATTGAGACAATTGCAACAAGGGGGTTTGAATTGAAGTTTGCCAGGAAAATCAGTGAAACATTAGAAACAAAACAAGCCATTACATTGTTGATGTATTCACCTACGACAAATTTCACTTTCACGCGGTAGTTAGGCAGGAGAATTTATTGCATCCTGCAAAGTCAGAGTGCACTGTGTCCCTCCCACACAGTGCAAAAGACTGAGATTACCTCCGCATTTTAGCAGGTCAAAACGCTTGGATATCTCACTTAGCTGAGAGACAAGCAGAGCATAAGAAAAAAAAATCCCTCTCAATACACACACACACACACACACACACGCACACACACGCAAACACAAACACTCTCCTGCAAACACAAAGTTTGTTTGTGACATTCGCTAACAACTTGCAACTATGTCAATGGTTTTTGCCACGGCTGTGTTTTGAAAACCACCCAGTCATTACTGGCTTGGTAGGTGGCCCTGTGAACATGATGTGCATTTCCTGTCTTTGAGTGATTGTAAACACTAGGCCCCTTGCTGTGCACAGTTTTGCTGAGTCATCACTGTAATCATTGGCCAAGTATGGACAGAGGGACCACAATCTGTGATACAGATGGGAAGTTGCGTTTGACATTATCAAAGTGACTTTATAAACAGAGAGGTGGTCTTTGTACATGACTACTCAGTTTATCAGCAATGATTAAACAGTATTTCCCAGCACCAGGAATAATTTATAATGGAAAAAAAAATAGGTTTTTAAATTTAAGGTTGCTGACCTTGAATCTCTCTGACTGGCACACTGTAAATCAATTCTTCAGGATAGTAACGGAGTCAAGCCAGATGATTATCATTCTGATCAACTGTAGTTCCTTTCTGTTCGCCTCTCCCAATTCAGCACGGCCAAGTTTTGTCATCCAGCCCCAAAACACAGAGGTACTGGTGGGTGAGAGTGTGACTTTGGAGTGCAGCGCCACAGGCCAGCCACAACCCCGGATCTCCTGGACAAAAGCAGATCGGACACCACTGCCCAGTGACACGCGCATCAACATCACTCCCTCCGGAGGGCTTTACATTCAGAATGTGGTGCAGACTGATGGAGGGCAGTACACTTGTTTTGCCTCCAATAATGTTGATACAATTCACGCCACAGCTTATATTATTGTCCAAGGTACGTTAACAATATCACCCCGAGCCTGAAACACCAAACTCTTTTGCATTCTGCATGTTCTTCTTCCAATGGAGAAGTATTCCATTTAGAATTAAACAGCTGCTCTGCTTTCCTTAATATCTATATTCTTGTGACATGATTGAATATATGATATTACATGACATCATATTCTTCTGTCAGAATATTCTGAACTCCTTCGTGGATGTAGTTTAACCTACCATAGCTCATGTCATTCCATGTAGTTAACAGACAGAACATTTTCGACCAAAAATGCATTTTCAGTTTTCGTCTGAAAGACTTGGAAAAAAAACGGCCGAAACAGAATGTCGTGATAATGCAAGTAAAAACCTTAAAGGCAAGCACACTTGCCTCCTGCCGCATTTACCAGTGTGGAACCCTGGCTTCATTATATATTGATTATCTTGTTTGTGAATTATCCTACACTCTCTCTGTGTTAAAACTACCCATCACGTAATATTAACTGATTTGTGACTTGAATACACATTCTATATCTAATATACATATTATATTTATCTCGGGTCCCCCAGCAATCCCCCAGTTCACGGTCACACCACAGGATCAGTCGGTCCTTGACGGCCACACTGTGGACTTCCCGTGCGAGGCGACGGGATATCCCCAGCCAGTTATCGCCTGGACTCGTGGAGGAAGCCCATTACCTCTGGACCGGCGGCACTCAGTCCTGTCTTCGGGCACTCTTCGAATCACTCGGGTGGCAGCACACGACGAGGGCCAGTACGAGTGCCAGGCCGTCAACCCAGTTGGGACTGTCCGCACCGCCGTGCAGCTCAGCATCCAACAGAGAGGTGAGTGTATAGGATGAAGCTTTAAGTTAAGGTTGGTGGAATAAATTGCGTCAGTGTTTTACTAATGTGAGATGACAGAATCATGTTTACTGCTGCACTCTTCATCATGTTAGTTTTCCGCAGGCTGTTAGTGTGGCAAACACTGCATGTTTGTCTAAGAGGAGTTGAGGCATGCAAGGTGGCAAAATGTCAACATGGTAAAACTGACATACTCTTCTGAGCTAATTAAGGTTAAGTCTGTGCCTTTGTATATGTGTGTGTTGCTAATTGCGACTGCACTGTTCCAAAGTATTTACTCGTTGAAAGAAATGCTGCCATTTCCTCTTCTTGTAATTCATTCTGTTGTGTGTTTAAAGGCGAAATTGAGGATGATTGTGTGTCACATGCCTTCTTTTATTGGGTGTATGTTAGCATGTGCGTACCGGTATGTGTTGGTGGGATGAACCAGTGTTGAAATTGCAGAGAGGGAAGCATGTCAGTCCGTAATCCTGAGAAGACGGCAATTTTCCATTGGCTGTTAACATGGCTCAAAGTATATGTTGTTAAATGGTTCCACTTTTAAAATTAGCACAATGCCACACAATCATGGTGATCGAGTGTGATGGATGTGGTATGCGTCGAATGATGTGCTTCGTGCATTATAATCTAATGTTTAGGAGATGAACTCAGGAATTAATAAAATGTGACTGTTTGACTATGAACATTTAGTGAATAATTCATTATTAGTAGTACTTGCAAAGCAATGTACCAGTACATGTCCTGCATATTAATTACCATATTTTCCACACTATAAGGCGCACCTAAAAGCACTCAATTTTCTCAAAAGCTGACAGTGCGCTTTATAATCCAATGTGCCTTGTATATGGATCAATAATCTGATTTCTTGGATGTAATATTTTGAATGTTCCGTAAAGCACTTTGTTCCGGCTGCACCGGCTGTGAAAGCGTGATATCAATAAAGCTGTATTGTATTCCCTTTAGCATCGCTCCATCAACCGCAGCCACTGTTGTAGCTTCTATTCTATGCGGCTTGTCATGCGGTGCGCCCTTTATATGAAAACAGTTTGAAAATAGGCCATTCATTCGACACCGAAGCGCCTTATAGTGTGGAAAATACGGTATGCTATTATTGCAGTACTTGTAGCATACTGTGCTGCATTCATCCTGCATTGAGTGGATTGTAAATTGCTCTGAACAGTGGGGTTTTAAGGAAGCTCATCTCTGATTTATAGACAATTATTAGTCACGACCACAAATTATTTGTGGGAGGTTAGGATTTTCCCTTGCCAGGTGGCTCTCAGTTGCAGCATGGGAACGCTGCAGGAATTTGAATGCTGTGTGTGGGGGAGGGCAAATAGTTGCAGCCCACCAAACATCTTGACTTTCTGAGTGTCATCTCAGCTCCCAGACAGTATAACATGATGACTCATTCTGTATCAAATCAGTACTTAATTTGTGTGTATGATAGAGATGTAGTCCCAGGGCACCGCATGCTCAATACTCAAATGAAAAACAGCTGTTTTACCAACATGTCATATTCAAATGTTCACTTGCTTGCAACCGCATTTGTGTGAATTGCATATCTGTTATAGTTTCAGTTGGGTTGTTGTTCCCACAATGGTTTCAACATCAACTGTTCGAAAGCAAACCAAAAAAATAAAAACAACAAAGCAGTTTGGTTATTTTTGACAAGCAAAGGCTAAAGCAAACATTTTTGTTTTTTTTAGGAAACAAATATTACTGGAGCTCTACAGTAAATACCAAATTTCCTTAGTTTTTGCATTATCGTGAATACACTGATCCACAAGACTGGAAGAGATTTATTACAGGGATCAGTTGGGTTTTTTTATATATGATCATGTATATTTACAAATAGATTTTTTACAAACCAATGCTTGGCTGTTTTCTGCTTCTTCTCTATGAGGTATTAAACTTGTTACAAAGCTGCACTACCGTGCAAAGCGTTCTGGGCTAAAACTAGATTGATTTGTTGCCTTTGCGATGCTGTAGTGCTCGTGCGACTAGAATTAGACCCAAAATTGTACTGTTTGTTAGTGTAATAAATAAATAAATACCTGTATCCAGAACTTTATCCAGATCCTGACCAAATGTAATGCTACCAGTCTGCAAAATTATGTTCAGTTAAGAAAAGTGGAAAAATTATCATTTATCCAGATACCCACCAAAATTTCTTTCTTGGGCGTTTATCCAGATCTGCACCAAAATTTTTTCCTTGGGTATTGGCTCAACCGCTGTGTCAAAATTGGTTAATAGCTCTTTTGTAATCTTTCGTAAAACACAGAGACATTAACTAAACACTGACTGAAATATTTCATGTTTGTCTGCCCCTTTTGAAAGTGGAGGGAAATTGTTCAGCGTCTTCTGTGAGCATAAGCAGGACAGCAGACTTTGAGTTTCTTGCCTACAATTATTGATTACAAAATGCACTTTACCTATACTGTACTGGCCTATAATCATTAACACATGCGCATGTGTTTGTGTATGTTTGAACTCATTCAGTAACGCCTGTTTTCACAAATGCTCCAAGGGATGTGACGGTGGAGTCTGGTCAGGACATCCAGATTCCCTGCAGTGCTCAAGGCCAGCCACAACCTGTACTTACCTGGAACAAGGTTAGATGCTAAGACGACATTTTTCTGAGTCAGGATCAGAAGGTGAAAACCGTGTTAATCTTCAGGGATGTAAGATCATAGTCCCTGAAGAGAATTGGGTTCAACTACTGCATTGGGCATCATTTTTTTTCTACAAGTTAAATGTAAAATGCAAGATGACTTGTCTTTTCAGTGATCAATAATCATTAGCATTTTACTAAATTAGTGGTTGGCAAGGTCAAGAGAAATATAATCTCTGCCTATAAAATCAATCAGAAATGTTCCGAAAATCCATCCTCCCCCCTAGTCCCTGAAGAGAATTGGGTTCAACTACTGCATTGGGCATCATTTTTTTTCTACAAGTTAAATGTAAAATGCAAGATGACTTGTCTTTTCAGTGATCAATAATCATTAGCATTTTACTAAATTAGTGGTTGGCAAGGTCAAGAGAAATATAATCTCTGCCTATAAAATCAATCAGAAATGTTCCGAAAATCCATCCTCCCCCCCCCACCCCCCCCCCCCTTACACAGCCGCCACTCCTTACACGAAAGGAAG